GATTTGTTTGTTTGTTTGTTTGTTGTTTTGTTTTGTTTAATCGGGTTTTGTGTTTGTTTTGTTTTTGTCCTTTTGAAAAGACAACAACTCTGAGATTGATATAACACATGGAAATTAAAGCAAGTAAAGGACATTTCAAGTCCAAACATTATGCCCCATTTTCTGCCATGATAGGAGTTTTCTCTTCTTATGTTAAATAAATGAAGTACTTATGCCACTGCAAAGCACCAACTGCCATTGAGTCAATTCACACACAGTGGCTCCACGTGTAACATATTAGAACTATATTGCACAGTGGGTTTTTTAAAAATTTTATTTTATGTTGGTGTGCTTGCAAGGTGAGTATACATTGTGTTTCACACAATTCTTCATTCACATTGTGTTTCATACAATCATTTCCATGCTTTATATCTTATAAAATTAATCAGCCATTGGAGTAGGCCCATCATCACTCTGTCTTTTCAGGTCCCCGCCGGATCTTTCTCATTTCCTTTATCCCCTTACATAGTGTTTCCATTGACTGACTTTTTTGGAATTAGATCACTTCTGAAGCATGTCTGGGTAAATTGTAGCCACAATTTAGACATTTAGGTTAGCAGCCAAATGCATTAATAGTTTGTACCACCAAGAATTATTTAAAGATTGCAGGACACGTAGTAGGCACATGTGAGTTCAATATATTATTCTAGCTTTTATATATTTAGAATTTTCTATAATAAAAACTGAGCTCTGGTGACCTAGTGGCAAAAAAATGCACTGCGATTTCAAAGACACACAGTTTGAGGCCACCCGCTGCTCTGGGGAGGCAATGAATTGTCTCTGAAAACCGGTCGGAGGGTCAGCTATGGGTCAGCTCCAACTCTAGGGTACATATAACAACATAACACAAAGTTGACTTTTAAAATAAAAATTAAAAACATAGGTTAGGGGAAAATATGTACCTTCATTTGTCTCAAAAATGGTATACTTGCACCTATCCTGAAGACATGTGAGTAAAGACTTTCCAAGGACCTGCAATGCACATAAAACGTTTTTAAGAATATTTACAACCTATAGGTGGATATCCAGAAGCTCCATAAGCAGCTTTCCTGCCTGTACAAAATGCACAGGGTTACATTCAAAGGTTTATGTACACAGATGTTCATGCCAGTGTTGTTTTAAAAAATTGCATATTGGAAACCAAATGCTTCACAGTAGAGAAATTATTAAATTTTAGCATTCATATTACTATTAAAAATAAATTTTTAATATCATTGTATCATTCTGTATAATTCTTACATGCTAGAATAGAATAAGAAGTCACCTTAAAGAACATTATTAAAACAATTGGTAATTATTTAATAAAGACTGCTTACTTGATAATATTATTTTACTACTGTATTGACAGTGAATTTTGGGAAATAATAAATGTGATTTAGCAGAATGTACACTCTTAGAAAATAAATGCTCATATTCTCCAGGACAAAAAGTAATGTCTACAAGAACTATTTAATCTTATAAAAGAAGTTTACAATATAATATTCATTTTCTTAATATTAATATCATTAAAATTTAAGTAATTTAAAATATACACACAAACATTTGAGAAATATACCTAAGAAATGTAAAAAGTTGTCTCTCTAAATAGTGAGATTATACAAGATATTTATTTTCCTTTGTACAGTTAAACATTCTTCCTTTTTCTACTATGGCATGTCTATTATTTTGTTCTTATTCCTTCAATATACACACATGAAAAAAATCCATCAAAAGGGCCAATTGGGCATATTTTGTAATTTAATGTGAAGAAAGCCTTGTAATAAAACTGAAGGTAAGAAAAAGACTAATTCTCTCTAAGTTTAGTAGGCTATCATTCTGTTACTATCGGGCATATGTTAGAATGGGAGGATGGGTAAAGAACTCATTTGAAGTCTTAACACACAACTGTTGAGTACCATTGAGTCAGAACTGACCCACAGCTGACCCTCCATCGGGATTCAGAGCCAGTAAATCACTTGAAAGGAGATTGCACATTCTTCTCCAAAACAGCCAATGTTCATAAAAGCACATTTTTGTTTACTTTTATTTTCATTTTATGATCACAGCTTTCTCCACAAGACCCAATAACTCAATGCTATTGCATTGATTCCAAGTTCTGGTGACCTTCTGTGGGGTTTCAAAAGCGATAAATCTTTATGAAAGAATAATTCCCATCATTCTGGCATCTATTAGGCAGTTTGTTTTTGTTGTGTGCCCTCAAGTCAGAACCAAACCATAGTTGACCCTCCAGCAGGTTTTTAGAGGCAGTAAATAGTATGCGAAGAGACTGCCCATCTTTCTCCAGTACAGCAACTTATGGATACAAACTGCTTGCCTTTGGGATTGCATTGCAGCTTCTTACCACTAGGTCACAGGAGCTCCCTTGTTAAGCAGCTGGTGAATTTGAACTACCAGTATTTCAGTTAACATTTCCAACATACATGGCCCTGCACTACCAGGACTCCTTCTTTAAGCTAACTTCCAATACAACAAATACATGCAATGTTAAGCTACTCTAAGAAAAACAAAAGAAATTTTAAAAATAGTAATAAACTGCAATTCAGTGTGGAAGGTCATTCTTGATGTCCTCTAACTCAGCACTGACGTGGCTCCTCTCCTCAAGCCAGAAAGTTAGTGACTATGATTCTAAATTATATTTTGATAGTGTCCACTGAACCAGAGGTTTCTTTTAACTTGCTAGCTCCTGAGGAAATTGTCCATACAAGAAAGAGTGGACGTTTGGGGATGAGAAAATTTTGTTTAAAGAAGAGACGGGAATAGCATGAGGAAAGGTGGAATTTTCCCTCTTTCATTATTCTTATTCCTAAGTACATCTGTGTGGAGCATTGAAAGGTCAAAACAATGAGATCCAGGCCCTTGAATTGTGAAGTTGACGAGTTTGCCAAGTATATTTTTTCTATCTTTGCCACCTTCTCATTCCTGTTGCTATATGTAGTTGCTATATCTAGACATTTTGAAGGAAATTTTTCTGGCAACTTTTTTGTCCTTATTCATGGGAACTCAGAAGGATAAGGGTAGTACCGACTTGGTCTCCTGCACACTTATACACTGCCAGGCTCAGTGTGAGCACACCACTGGGAGAGAAAAGAGGGAAGAGATTCGTCATGACTTTGCCTAAGAATGGAAATAAGATTGATTTCCTTGACCATATTTAGGACAAAAGAAATAGCTACCATCTGAATTATATCAATTAAATACAATAAAAAAGAAATCAAAATGTACTTCTATGATCATTCACAAAAACTTCACTTTTTATTAATTGAAGTGGATATATTTAAAATGTCAGAGGTTTATTATTTGCTTGTATTTCACTTTTTGAAGTGAGAAGAAAATAAATTGTACCTAAAAATAGCAAATGGGAGACAAAGACACAATACTCAATTAAAGCAGATATTTCTTCTTCTAGCCTTAATTAATAAAAAGTTAATTTTTTTCTTCTTCCAATTAGCTTCCAAATTCTAATTGTTCATGACTTGTTGTTATTTGTTTGGTACCATCAAGTCGGAATTAACTCACAGCTGACCCTCCAAGTTTCAGAGGCTTTAAATCACATGGAAGGAGATGACCTATTTTCCTCCTCAGAGCAGCTCTGGATTCAAAGTGCATGCCTGGGGGTTTGTTTGCAGTGTAGCTCCTTACCATCAGGCCACCAGACCTCGGTAATTGTTCATGATATCAGCGTGAAAATACAGATACACAAGTCAGAGAACAGAAGGTAACATCCAGGTTCAGAAGCCTCATTAAGACCTACTCCCCTGCTTTTGAGGGAGTAAGATTAAGAGGTATAAGGTTGAAAGAGGAAAAATAAACTTGGTTATTTCTTGACCCCCTTTGACAGTCCATGCTGAATATTCTGGTGTTTCCAATTACCAATTTCTCCCCAAGCCTTCTCTAATTTATAAACAAAATCTGTGATAAACTTTCTTTTCCTAATAATCTTGGTCATATATAAGTGGCCACATTCTATCAGTTTTTCTTGTCTTTCCTATAACATTGACTTGTCTGAGTGTAGGGAACAAGAATTTAATTAAGATTTGTGACTGAAAACTGCAAACAATGTAGTCCTAGACTACTAAAAATGAGGAGACACAAGGTTAATCTCAAACACATAATCACAAAGCAGCCTCAGTAAACTTAGACACCACCTACGTCCTCTACTGAAACATGAAAGAGCATTGGTGTTAAAAGCCTTCTGTTCACAGCAAGTATCAAAAGCAAAGAAAAAGGCATGTACCTGAAATTCAGTCACTGTTCTTGATATCTGTAGACCTGACACATTTATGGAATAGAGATTTTGTTCTGTCAGTTTTTAATTTATTGACAAACAGATAAGCGGTTCCAGACGCCAATGCTCACAGAAACAGGGAGGAAAGGATGGTAATAAAAAAGAAAACAGTAGTGACTTTCTGAACACACACTTTTCTGAGTAGCAAGACTCCAGGTCCCATGGGGAAGGAAGAAAACTGACATTTCAGAGGTTGAACCTAGAGTCTGTCTTCCCCTCCATGACAGGAGAAACCACCCACAGTCCCTTTGGGGGAGCCTGATTGTCAGACATACAGAACTCTGCACACATAATAAAGGAACATTTCCATTGTACAGTTTGTTTTTAGAATGAAATAAATTAATACATTTGAAAAAATGACATATATTTATAAAATTGGGGTAAGGCAGTGGGGTTCAGATTAAGAGGGGATAGATCTCTCTCTTTCTTTTTAGTGACTAGCACATAGATTGGGTATTAAAGGTAATAACTCTGATTAGAAACACAGGATGTGATCAGCCTTCTCCTCATTGGTTTTGACTATCTAATTTGCCTGTTCACTGTGGGCTCCAGCTAAGAGGAACTCTTTAAGGGGGCTTTTTTTGGCTTGTCTGATGTTGATACTGTCAACACATTAATCATTTCAACTGATTGTCATCTGTTGGTCTTAGAACTGAGAAGGCTCAGGGCACCTCCTTTAGATGTGGCTTTTCAGAGCACAGATGGTAAGAGGGTCCGTGTTTGTGCCCTCGTTTGGAAGGCAAGGGGAGAAGATAGGCCGGAGAGCTCCTTGGAATATGGCTGGAGGAAAACTATAGATGAGAGACTCATCCACTACATTATAGAATGCTATATGTCCACACTCATAGTCTAAGAAAACACCAACCTTCTTCACTGGCTCTCTGACATGTTGACCTTTTAAAGGTGAGGAGACCCATAGACTATAATCATCTCCGATCTTTAAACCGATGAGTGAGTAGAGATCCCCAGGGGGCTTTGGAAGGTTCCCCTTCCGGCTCACTGAGTCCTTGCAGATGCCCACTTCCCACTCAGTCTTGTTTCCTACTTCCACTTCCCAGTAGTGCCTCCCACAGGTGAAGATCTGAACGCCCAGGACAGTTGCAGACTGGTCAAATCTTTCTGGATTGTCGGGTAACTGCTGTCTCATGCCTCCATGTTTAACACTTTTCAGATCACTAGACAGGACAAGATAGGCATTGGCTGTGTTAGGATCCAGAGTGATGTCCGCTGCAAGAGGAAAGAAGAATGAGACCTCCTGAGGCATCCTCGAGGGGGTGTAATTTAAATTAAATTTTTAGTATTGGGTCTTATGTTGTATTTACAATGGAATCTCTCTGCCTTTCTTTAAATATTCAAAAGAACAGAGAGAGAACCTCTAAAAGGAAACAGAAGAGAGGATTGTGAAGAATGTTGTTTAACCTGCCCGAGAGGGATCTCTAGAAGTTAAGTTGTTTTGTTTACAAGATAGTTTTAAGCCACTCAACTCTTTATTCACAAGCATATGTTTTTTCATTCGTAAGCCTTCCTTTCATAGTCAAAGTTGATTCTGTTTCTTCAGCTTGGATGGGAGTTATTATTTACTAAACATCTAAAATGATAGTAAGCTTGCCCAGTATTTTTAAAGTTACTACCTACTTGATTAGCAATCCCTAATCAAAATTTTCATCACATTTTCATTAAAGGCAACGTCCTATGAGCTGCTGCCATGCGCAGTGACCATGTGAAGCGCATTCCAAAACTGCATGAGAGTTAAAGAAGAGGGTGCCAACTCTCACTGACTGTCCAAAAGAGTTGGGTGTCCCTTACTATGGAGGAGTCATAGTTGACTCAGCAACATCTATCAACAACAGTCATATAATTTTATAGTTTCATGTGTTGGCCAAAGAAAAAAGATCACTTCTTACCTAAGTGGTTATTTAATGTCTGCCTTTTTAACTTCACTGTAAATTTTACAGAAAGCAATTCATCATTATGAGTAATTCCAGAGCCTAACAGCATAGTACCAGCATAGCCACTCATGGAATACCGGTTGAGTCTGTTAAGCCTTGCTCCAAAGATTAGATGATCAACAAGATAAAGTTGGACACCAATGATGATGTCTCTAGCCCTTAGTATTCTAAAAGGATCTCACTCACTCACTCACTCACTTACTGCTATAAAAATGGAACTGACTCATTCCTCCGGTAAGTTTCCAGACGCTGTAAATCACCTGGGAAAGATTTCATCTCTTTTTCCCAAGCAGTACAAATCCCTAAGAACTATGCCACCAGAACACCCTAGTTTGAAACGTAATTGAAACTTCCTTTCAATTTTCAATTTTTAACTTCTTTTCAATTTCCTGGAATTTAAGAGTTCAAGTCAGTTTCTTTTTTCCTAACAAGAAAGTATATATATATATATATATATATATATATATATATATATATATATCACACACACACACACATACACACAACAACAACAACAACAAACAAACCTACTGCAGTGTTGTATGTGTATGTGTGTCTATGCTTAAAGGGTAAGAATGAGGACAAAACAGAACAGTAAAAGCAGAGAAAGAAAGATTAGGATGCCAGAGATAGAAAACTGAAAGATCAGAACACGAATCAACTCTGCTTTTCTCTGCTAAAGCACAGAGGTGATCTGAGAATCCAGGATTCCAGGGTCCAGTGCTGCTCAGGACACCTTCAGTGAGAACATGACCCCCAGCTGTCCAAAATGTGCTGCTAGAAGTTGTTGCCTAAAGGTTCCTTTTGCATCACTTACATTTGTTAAGCTTAACTCTGAAACCCTCTAGAGGTTTGATAATCCAGGTTGACTTACTGCTGAATTTTCTTAGCATCTCTCTCATTCCTGTGATGCGGCACAGACTCAGTTCCGTGGTGGTGGTCTCTGGACAGTGCTGCAAGAGTGACTTGCTCCTATGACAAGGAGAGACAGTTACTCTCTTTCTTTGGCGCTGACCACACTACCTGCTTCAACTTGACAACCATGTTCTTTTACTAGAAAATGCATAGACAGTTCTGTCCCCAATCTAATAACCTGTTTGTTTAATTAGCACCAAGGACACAAAGCCCTTCAATCATTTCCCACACAATACAAAATAGACACCTACCTTTCCAGGGCTTCTCTCACTCCCTAAGGGCATAAAAGAAAGGGGAAAAAAATTACTATTTGCACAGTTTGAACACTAGCAAAGACTGAATCTATTTTAAGTATAGTCCTCTGTAGAGTTCACAGAATCTACTCCCCATGACCCAAGTATACCTTGACTGCAAGAACAAACAGCCAGGGGAAAAAAGAAAAACAAAAATCCTCATTTCTTCTAGAGTGGTTCCTGGTGAGCACAAGATATGTATATTTGCACTAACTGCTTTGTCCTTTAAATTTTCACATGGCATCACATAACATGCTATTGACAAAGGAACCATATTGTCAGATTCATTGTTCAATGGCTCAGAAGCAGAGATGAACAAAGAGAAATGGCCCAGTGAGATCTGAGACTAACCCTGTAAAAGACTGGAGAAGGCATTAAATTCACTAGAATTACTCTGTTTAACCAGTGCAAGAAACAGACTTGCAGCTGGCGTTGACTCATTTGGCTATGTTTAAGATCCTGAAGAACCACAGAAGCTTAGAGAGGTGTTAGAGCAAAGATGTCAAGAAACATGGATGTGATACTTAAGGTATTTGTGTTTACCATCTTAGTCATCATAGGTCCAACTAAGGATGTCCTAGAATTTAAGTTGCTGCTGCTGCTAGATAGGTTAGACAATTACAACCCATAGTGAGTGACCACATGAACAACAGATCCGAACCCTCTCCTAGCCTGTGTCATCGGCACCATTTCTGACACACTCACATCCATGGCAGCAGTGATTGTGTCATCCCGTCTGGTTGAAAGTCTTCCTCTCTTTAGATGATTTCTAAATCATCAGAGTTAGAAGCAGAGAAACGCTTACAAGAGAGTTTGCACTATTGATCATACACAAAACCTCAGGTTATGAATGGCATTTATCTATACACGTCATAATAATTCTTATCTTTATCAAATCTTTACAAAGATTAAAATTAATGTGCCTCTGGAGTGATATCCACTTCCTAAATAACATGCCTCTAGAAAATCTATGAACTTTGAGAAACAACCATAGTTATAGGAAGGCTTCATTTTGTTCTTAGGGTTGCTATGAGTCGTGCTTGACTAGACAGCAACCAATAACAACACATAGTAACTACTCAAGAATTTCTTTTTCTTGTGCAGGATGAATTATTGAATTTAATGGGATTTGGTGGCAATTGTTTAAGAGGTCTGCCTTTATCCACCATTAATAGCAGCGGATTTAGGGAATGGAGGGGATCTGAGGAGTTTTATTTTAAGATTTCCAACCCATTCAGACTATAGGACATCTCATGCCAACAACTTAATAAATATTTAGTCAAGAGGTAAATAGTCTTATCATTTACATCATACAAGTTTTCTTAAAAAACTGCCATGGGTCCCATCTGGTCTTAAAAACCAGCGATGGGTCCCATCTGGAAGGTCACTAGACATTTTTGATTTGTTTGAGTAACCTCTGAGGTAAGAAGTTGCATTGAATAATATTGCATGAGTTCCTTGTTTTTCAATGCAGCATAGTATTCCATTGTGTGACTATACCACAGCATATATCTGCCTGGTGGCACTTATGGTTTCTTTAGGGTATATTCCCAGTAGAGGAACTGCTGGGTCAAATGGTATTTCTATTTGCAACTTTTTTTTTTAATTGGGGTTTTTTGTTTGTGTACGTCAAATCAGATCTGACAAGTACAGGAGATTCCCCTCTCCCTCCCACCCAC